ATAAGTTATTTTAAAAAAAAATCCTAGAGATTTCAGGTGCTTTATTTAACCTCTGGAATCACAGTTAGTCACACATTCCTCGTGTAGCTCTTAATGGAAGGGCTTGGCCAAGAAACACTGATAGGGTATATCTACACAGCAAATTTATGTCGAAATAACAGCCCTTATTTCAAAATAACTTTCCTAGCATCTACACAGCCAAACCTCTATTTCAAAATAAATTTGAAATAGCAGAACACTTATTTCGGATTTGGTAAACCTCATTCTATGAGGAATAACGCCAAATTCGAAATAGCTATTTTGAAATAAGTGCTGTGTAGACACTTATATCGAAATAGGGGGCCTCCAGCCTTTCCAGGGTGCCCTGGTGGCCACTCAAGCCTCAACCAAAAGCACTCCACTCCCTCCCCCCTTCCCCACAGCCCTTAAAGGGGTAGACTCTGGCCACAGTGCCTGTGCCAGCTCCAAGCCTGCCAGCCCAGAGCCAGCAGTCACTGCCCCTGACCCAGTGGCCCCAAAACATAAGCCAGCAAGCCACTGGCAGCCAGCCCTCCACCGCTCCCCAGGAGCAGTCTGCCAGCTGCCAGGAGCCTGCTAGGGCCGGAGAAGGAGGGTGCCTTCTTGGTCCAGGGCCAAGATCATGGACCTTATTCAGGTTTGGGGGGGTATGCCCACAACGTTCATGATCTCCGCACTACATGGAGGACACTAGATACAGGAATGCATCAGTCTGGGGCAGTATAGCTGCCAGGCTGGCCACAAAAGGCCACATGCGAACCCAGGAGCAGGTATGCATGACAATCAAGTTGGTCCAGCGAGAATCCCAACCCTGAGTCCTGAGCTTCCTCTCCCCCTTCTTCTCCTTGCTTCCCCCTTCTACCTCCCAGGTTTCCCCCTCCCCTCTCCCACCATCTCTTCTCCCTCCTCCCACCTCCTTTCCTCAGTCTCACCAGAGTTTCATTCCCTCCCTCCCAGTTTTGTTGAATAAAGAGAGTTTGTGTTTATGAAAATACATGTATTTTATGTGACATCAGGAAGGAGTAAGTGGAAGGACATGAGGGAGGATTGAGGCACAAGCCCCCATTGGGGCAGGCCAGGGAGGCTCTTAGTACGCCTCAGGGTGGAAGCTCTCCCGCAGGGCCTCCTGGATACTGACAGCCCCCCATGGACCTCCAGGATGGCAGCCTGCAGAAAGTGTAGTCAGGCTTGCAGCAATGCGTCCAAGAGAAGCACCAGAGTGCCCAGGGGCAGCTCTGGCTCCATGATGCAAAGTGCTGTGGTGTCCTGAGTGAGGGCAACCAGAGCACACAGAGACAAAATGCTTTGCTGTCCCTCATCGAGGTAGACAAGCAAGCAGGGAATCCTGAGAACTGGCTGGCCAGGGGGGTCCCTTTAAGCACAGACCTCAGATAGTCTCAGGCAGCAGCCCCACACAGTAAGTCCTGACCTATTGCCCTGCTGGAACTGGTTCCGGCCAGCCTTGAATGCAATTCAGAGTCCACTCAGTGTGGAAACGCTATTTCGAAATAGCAAAAAGCTATTTTGAAATGCATTTTGTGTGTAGATGCATTATTTCGAAACTTCAAAAGAACACTGTAGTGTAGACATACCCATAATGACAATTCCTTTTGCAAGGGGCAGAGGCAATAGCTGGCCCTTCACCCAGGGGAGCAAAGGACTGAGCAGGTTCCTTCATGTGCCCCAAGGACATGCCTTGCCCCTTAATCTCCTGGGACTGCAAATCCACCCCGTCTATGGGGAAAGCTGTGGCTCACAATCTCACCTGTCACAAGCAATGTCATAGTTTGCAGCAGCAAAGGTGCACAGCACTTACCTGCTGATCTTGGGGAACAACATTTTGTATTTGTTCTTATTAATTAGGTTAGTGTTTAGTTTAATGTGTAGTTTATTTGACACTTAGCTATAATGTTTTTATGCTCAGATGACTGTGTACGTCACGTGCTGTAGGAATCCCCGCAAAGTAATTTTTTTAAAAAATAGAAGATATCGTTTTAGAAAATCCAATCTTTATTTAAAAACTGACACTGATGGAGAATTCACCATACCCCTGGTAAATTGTTCCTATAATTACTCTCATGGTTAAAAATTTACATTTTATTTCTAGTTTCAGGGTGTCTAACTTCAGCTCTCAGCCACTGAATGTTTATTGTACCTTTGTCTGCTGAATGGTAGAGTCCGTTACCAAATATAAGTTCCTCATATAAGTCCACTAAACTGCAAACAAGCCACCCCTTGTCCTCCTTGATGTTAAGCTAAATTCCTTGAGATTCTATGTCATGCTGCTGCAGTTCAGGATTGAGATGTATGGTAGCGCTATGGTATCTGACCATATGTCCTGGATTTTCTGGAACTGTCTCGATTTTAAATACTCTGTCCCGGTGTCCCCAGCAAGTAGTGAAATGTCCTGGAAAGCGCCGTCAGACATTTCACTACTGGACGGGGGCACTGCCTCATGGAAAGAAGTGATTGAGTCTGTGCACTGTCACTGCTCCTTGTGCAGCACAGCAGCAATAGCTGCCTCCTCCCTTCCCACTGCAGAGTGTGTAGGTGGCTCCATCGGAGCTTTGCCAGCTGGGGTAGGTTTCTAGTGGTGCGCAGTTTCTGTCCCCCCGCACTTGCAGGTTGGCACCTCGCAACCATACTGCATCAGACCAACAGTCCACCCAGCCCAGTATCCTGTCTGCTGACAGTGGCCAATACCAGATGCCCCAGAGGGAGGGAACACAACGTAATCCTCACGTGATCCCTCTCCTGTCATCCATTTCCTGACAGAGGCCAGGGACACCATTCCTCCTCATCCTGGATAATAGCCATTGATGGACCTAAGCACCATGAAACTATCCAGCTCTTTTTTGAACCCTGTTAAATTCCTAGCCTTCACAACATCCTCTGGCAAGGAGTTCCACAAGCTAACTGTGTGCTGAGCGAAGAAAAACTTACTTTTGTTTGTTTTAAACCTGCTGCCTAGTAATTTCATTTGTTGACTCCTAGTCCTCATATTGTGGGAATAAGTAAATAACTTTTCCTTATTCACTTTTTCCACACCAGTCATGATTTTATAGATCTCTATCATATCCGTATGTAGTCTCCTCTTTTCTAAGCTGAAAAGTCCAAGTCTTCTAAATTTCCCCTTATATGGGACCCGTCCAAACCTCTAATCACTTTTGTTGCCCTTTTCTGCACCTTTTCCAATGCCAATATATCTTTTTTGAGATGAGATGACCACATCTGTACGCAATATTTAAGATGTGGGCGTACCATGGTTTTATATAGTGGCAATAAGATGCTCTCTGTCTTATTCTCTATCCCTTTTTTAATTATTCCTAACATTCTATTTGCATTTTTTACTACCACAGCACACTGAGTCGATGTTTTTGGAGAACTATCCACAATGACTCCAAGATCTCTCTCTTGAGAAATTGTAGTTAGTCCCCATCATATTGTATATATAGTTGGGAATATTTTTTCCATTATGCATTACTTTACATTTATCAGCATTAAATTTCATTTGCCATTTTGTCCAAACCCTTAGTTTGCTGCACCCCACCTCCCTCCCAGACCCTGCACCCCATCCCTATCCCAAACATTGGCAGCCCTGTCCCACACACAGAACTCCTTGTTTTGTCCCCATTCCAGAGCCGAAGGAGATCCATAAAATCCATTAACTCTGGAACCCCAGAAAAGTAAATCTGGCCTATGGGAAACCCTGGAGTAGAGATGTTAGGGAGTAGTCAACTAGTAGTCAAGTAAAGTATTGACAACTTGCTTCCCTTCCCCTCTCCCTCTTGCTGCCTCTATGCTGCCCCAGGTGGGCCCAAATCCATCCCTATTGATAGAGGAAGGTGGGAAGAGTTCTTAGAGGGGTCACACAACTTTCTTTACTTCTGGTCATGTGTCCATCTTGACCCCAGAAGTACTACCTCTAGGGATGAGACTTCATATGACAGGTGGGTATGACTAATGGGATCAGGGGCATAGCTAATTGGGCCAGGGAGACATGCCCCCATTTTTGGATCTGAAAATATGGTCACTGTGGCTATGAGGGAGTGGAATAGCTGAGATCCAACAGGTGCATTTGGACCTCTGTGAGCCGAGTGGATTTAGCATAACAAAAGGGGTGTAAGTGTGACATGATAGGCCTGTTGCAGATGAGCAGGAAGGTGTATTGGCAAAACTGTGCAGGTCAGAAAAAGAAGGGGCCAAGGGCCTGGACTGGATTGCACTGGGGAATTGTCATAAATGTCCTTCCACACCTGGATTAAGGTAGTGTAGCTGCTGCACTGCTCTTTTAGCCTGTGAACTGCCATTGCCTGGCCACTTCATTTTATTCTGAAGTGCCCTTAGGCTAAAGAAAGAGAAGGGGATTCTCCTACCTACCAACGAAATTGCCAGGGAAGCACTGTTTAAGCAAAGAACTGTCTTGCAAAGAGGGGAACCGCCTCTGCACTGGGAGACAGGGGTTCTGGCAAACCCAGCCTTAGGGCAAGGCAAACAAAGTGGTTAGGACCTCGACTCGCCCGGGCCTGCCCACCCAAGCCCTGCAAGCTCTTGGCCCTGCAAGCTCTTTGGCTGGGCCGGGTTGTGGCCATAATCCAACATGATCAAAGCCACCCAATTATACTAATTCAGCATCACAGTCCAAAATGTTTCCTCCCTGAAACCCGCACTTCTTGCCAACGGGATGACAGCCCTGAGCAGCTCTCTCAACCCTCGGCCAAAAGGCACATCCAAGCTAACAGACAGTGGAGGAGCGTTAGCAATGTCCCCTCCCACCCATCCCGGTGCTGGCTCTCTGGAGACAGCTGGCCCCAGCCCCAGTGGGATATAATGTCAAGGCTCCTTCGGGTGGCTCCTGGACAAGCGCCCGAGTGCTTTCCCCTTCGTAAGATCAAGCCCGGCCAATGGCAGGCTGCTTCTCCGCTAGCAGAGAGCGGGGATTGGCGCAGGAGCTCTGCTGATCGCTGTGGAAACCCCTGCCTTGATGAATGGAGGAGGGGTGCGGGGCAGAGAGAGGGGGCAGCGAGCTGAGGTTCCCACAGAACAGGGTTATTATTGGCGCTGCATCGGCGCTGTCAGTGCAGGGAAGAGCCGCCTAGGGGGCACCTCAGAGCAGGCAGCGGGGCTGGGTGCCTGCAAAGGGGCTGGCAGGAGCGAGGGAAGGGAAGACAAAGAGAAGCCAGGACGAACATGAGAGGCGGGAAGGAGAGAGAACAGGGGATCAGCTGAATTCAGTCTGGAGGGGGAAACCTCTTTCTTTCCAGCCACGGGGGCCTCGGGCAAGTCGGGCCGGGGGGCCATGGGGAAAGGTGGGGAGAAAGGTGAGGAGGCAGGGGAGCCGGAGGCGCAGAGCCGCTTCTACAGCTGGGAGGAGATCCAGCGGCACAACCTGCGCACGGACAAGTGGCTGGTGATCGAGCGGAAGGTTTACAACATCACCAAGTGGGCCGCCAGGCACCCGGGCGGCCTCCGGGTGATCAGCCACTACGCCGGCGAGGATGCTACGGTAAGGGACCGCCGGCTGGGACACCTGGGCGCGGCGGGAGGGGGCGTGCGGCGCCTGGCTGGCCCCGGGCAGCGCCACGGACCTCAGCCGCGCACTGGAGGGCGCGCCAGTGGCCGCGGAGAGCGGAGCGGTGGGGAATTGCTGGGCGCCTGGTGCAATCCGCGCTGGTTGGTCTGATGCAGCCTAGGCTCCGGGATGTCGGGATCCAGCGATGCCCCGTCAGGTAGCTGTGGCATGGGAGCAGCCCCGCTAGCCATTCCCCCTCGCCCAGGCTGGAGGGACCCGCGCCGGCGGCTCTTGCAGGGGGATGGCTTTGAGACGGCAGCCCAGAGAGCCGCTCTGCGCTCCCCGCGGGAGGAAAGGAGGCAGCTCTCCACAGCGCTGTGCCCCCGCCTGGCGAGGGCAGAAACGGAGCCGTTTTGCTCCCATGCTGCTGCACCCAGCCGCCGCTTGGCAGCAAGAGAACGGGACCGGGCCGCTGCAGGTTCGGCTCGGGGCGCGCTGGCCGGCGGGGTCCCCTTCTAACCCATCTGCCCCAGAAGCGCAGCCAGATGCTGGGCTGCTCCCCGGGCGCCAACCCGCCGTGAACAAGGATCATTGCTCTGCATTGTCGCTTCCCTCCCCGCTCTGCGTGTGCCCCACAGACGTCAGGGGGCAGGAGAGAACAAGCGGCGGGAAGCGAAGCGTTCGTCTGGGGTGGGTGTTGCTCCTCCGCAGGAGGGGGAGGCGGGTCTGACAGTAGGAAGGGGTTATATATAGCGGCTGGCTTTCTTCAAGTGTGTGTTTGCTGCAGGGTCGATGGTGTGAGCTTCTGGCCAGTCGTTCCCCTGCCTTAAAGGACAGTGATTTGCTTTGGTGCCTCTGTGCCCCCTTGGAGCAAAGCCTCTGGATGAATGGGCTTTGCCAATGGGCCATAGTCTCCTTTCAGTGGCATTTGCATCAACTCACTGAAGCCAGAAGGGTTGCACTAGAATATAAATGAGCAGCCACTTTGCCTCAGATGTCCCTACTTTGTAACTCAAAAGGCATTTGGTCTTATGTTCAGGTCCAGCCTGTCTTTGTGAAGATTGTGACATGGGTTTGTATTTCTACTGTTGTTGTGTGGCTTCCCCAACTAATCCCCTTCCACAGTCCTCCGTGCAACACTATCCAGTAGGAAGTAAAATGATATCTGTGTAGGTCCAAATTTAAGCACCTGCCCCCAACCCTGTCAGGGAAAGGGGCTTGATCATCAGTCACAAAATGGCCCCTTCATGCAGCTGTAAAAGGATCTCAAGAGTAAAATTACATATTTAACTTTAGTGTTTCAGGAAATTATGATCTGGGAAGGCAGTAGTGACAAAACACAATTCTGAAACGTAATTCACCATTCTTGCATTGTAAAAGGTCCCCATCCTTAAGAGTAGTCACAATCAGTGCTTGCACATCCACCCCAGACTGCCTCATGGCAACACATGCCAACAACTCTCATAAATCCATTATGGGCTCATCAACAGCGTCTGTTGTATATCCACTGTGGGCTATACCCTGGGAACATACTGGACGGTATGTGTACATCCATCACAGACTGCCCCATGGGAACATGCACCAGAAGCACCAGTATATTTATCATGGGATATCTAAGGCCCCACACCGACTTGTTCAGTTGTCATGAGCCAGCTCCTAAGGGCTTTGACACCAGGATCTCCTGTTTGTCACACCCCACCCATTAAGGCAGCTCATACCATTGCTACCCCACTAGCCCTTTCAGCATATCTCTTGGGTTACCTGTGCACAATCCATGCTGATGACTGAACACAAGCAATTATACACCATCGCAGGATGTCCCTAAAGCTGCTGACATTGACGGTTCCCATGACAACCCATTCATTCAGCATGGGCCTACTACCTCCTAAAGATGTTTGTACCAAGAGTGCCCATGCCAGCCTGGTCATCCACCGTGAGCTGCCTGTGTTTAGCATTCTACACAGGCCATACCTCATTGTGCTCTTGGTACCTGCAGCGTTCTGTTTATGCATCATCTTGTGGGCAGCTGTCATCCTGCCTTAAACATTGAGAAGACGGATTAGATCTGCAGTGTGTTCTATGGCACCTTTTAGACTCCTGAGTATCTCAAGGGCTTCACAAAACCAGAGCCTGGATACTATAATGCTGTGATTGGGATGGCAAATAGGGATGTGAATGATTAACCAGATTACCAGTAAGCATTACCCTTACTGGATGATGCTTACCAGTTACAGTTAACTAGCAGCCTGGCCGGGCTAGAGCAGCCTTCTCCCTCTCCCCTCATGGTGGGGAAACTGGGCCTGCCATACCATGCCACGGACAGGGGACCACTCTGGAACAGCCCCACCCCCATTTAAGTGGTTAACCAGTTAAACATGACATTTGACCAGTTAACTGGTTAAACGGGATTTTATTTCACTAACGGCAAGTAGGGTATCCATCTTGGTGCACAGCTAAAACTCACACAGCTCCTGAGACCACAAACTATTTTACTGGGAGAGACCAGGGCAATCCCTCCCACTGACATGTTAGCAAGAGCAAAGAACTTTCAACTCATCTGGACAATGTGCCACGGCAGAAGAGACTTGATTGTAGCGTATCCAATTATTTCATAGTACAGCTCCCAATGTATTCCCTGCTACCACATGGAAGGGTATCCCAAATTCCAATGAGGGACTTGAACCCATGACCTGCCAGCCTAGGCAAAACTACTGATACAAGATGTGTAGCTGATGACAAAAGAACTCAACTATCTGTCATTGTTGCTCCCTTCTATTCTGGGCTTGAGTGATGAACTCAGGATGAAACATTTAGGAGCTGGTATTCTCTAGGCGGCTTCATGAATGTGTTGAAACATTCCCCTCTGTGCATAAGTCAGTGACTGCTATATTTAATGAATCTCAGCCATGCTCACTGCAGAGAATCTACAGCCCTCGGATCTCCCTTGAAAAACATGCTAGGATGGAAGTAAGATGTGAAAGCCCCAAGAGACTCAAAGGCAACCCTGGCATTGTGTGTGTGTGCAGGTTTGTCTTTTCCCATAGAGAAGTGATACTGCTAAGTGGATTGAGAGAAGGAGCCAGGGCAGGTTCTCCCTCTGGTAGCATTATGAAATGCATGTCATATTACAGTATTTGGGAAGTACATTAAAAGAAAGTGGAGGGGGGTTTGGTAGGGTAACCCTAGGTGGATGGAAAAAACTGAGTAGCAGGCAGAGGATTTTCTTTAAGCTGCCCTCCAGTAACACCACATAAATCGGAAAGAGACAGCTCCTCATCTGTAATCATCATGAGAGCAAGCCAGCACTTAGAAGATACATCTTTTCTATGAACTTGATGTTACTCAGATAATCTATACTTTCCTTTGTGATTCAAGTTCTCCTTTTTCCTCAGAACCTTTACTCTGAGTGGCTGATTCTCCTTGGCCTAGCCCCAAGAGTCTTTTCATATTTACTCCCAAACAGTAATTTTTACCACCAAACAGTAACCCCACTATCCTCTCTTACTTCCCTTTTGAGTCATCTTCTGGAATTGATGTCAGTCCCACAAGGCAAATAAGGAGGAAGGAGTCCAGTGACCAGAATTAACATTTTGGGGGAATATCCACAGTGACTTGTCAGATCAGAGGAAGGATGGGTCAATAGTTAGAGTGGTTTTAAGTCCCTGTTCTGCCACAGACTTTCTTTTGGACCTAGGGCAGGTCCCTTGGCTCCCTGTATCTCAATCTCCTATCTGAAAGGAGGAATAATAGCACTTCCCTGTTTCACAGGAATGTTGCAAACACAACTACAGTAGCGATTGTGAGGTGCTCAGATACTGCAGAAAGGGAGTCTATAGACGTATCTAAGATACATAGAACTAGTGACTCAGGGCTAAGTTTGCTTGGGCTGGGCCAGAGAACCAAACAGAACGAGTTCCAAACTGTACCCTGTGGAAGCTTGTGCTGCAGGCCTTGTTGACGCTGAAGATTTATTCCAGTTTCAACCATTGGTGTAGCTGTATTGGTGCTAACGCTTAGGCTATGTCTACACTGCATAGTCATTTCGGAATAAACTGTTCTGGAAAAGTTATTCTGAAATAACTTATTTCGAAATAGCACGTCTACACTGCGGGGAAGCCTCAAAATGAGTCCGAGGCAGGCTTCCCTAATGTAGACGTGCTATCTCAATTTAGAGCCCCAGGAGGAATAACTTAGAATGGGCCTGGTAAGGGGCTATTTCGAAATAGCAGAAGTGGAGCATCTACACACACCTTATTTCGAAATAGCTGTTTTGGAATAGGTGTTATTCTTTGTAGAATGAAGTGTACAGAAATCGAAATAAGCCGTCCGTTATTTTGAAATTATTTCGAAATAACGGAATTGCTGTGTAGATGCTCGCATAGTTATTTCGGAATAACGGCTGTTATTCCAAAATAAATTTGTGTGTGGACACACTGTTAGGGTGTGTCTAGACTACATGCCTCTGTCGATGGAGGCATGTAGATTAGACAAATCGGCAAAGGGAATTGAAGCCGCGATTAAAATAATCGCGGCTTCATTTAAATTTAAATGGCTGCCCCGCTCTGCCGACAAACAGCTGATCAGCTGTTTGTCGGCTGATCGGGGCAGTCTGGACGCGCCGCGGTCACAAGGAAGCCTTTCTTGATCGGCGCAGGTATGCCTCGTGAAACCAGGTTTACCTGCGCCGATCAAGAAAGGCTTCCTTGTGACCGCGGCGCGTCCAGACTGCCCCGATCAGCCGACAAACAGCTGATCAGCTGTTTGTCGGCAGAGCGGGGCAGCCATTTAAATTTAAATGAAGCCGCGATTATTTTAATCGCGGCTTCAAATCCCTTTGCCGATTTGTCTAATCTACATGCCTCCATCGACAGAGGCATGTAGTTTAGACATACCCTTAATGTCACAAGGCAAGTTATGGTGATGGGAGCCAAAGGGGCTTGTTCCTGCTTGAAATATGCCTCTGCAAATCCTGGCTTTCTTTTTCCACGTGGGAG